TGATGTAGGTAACAGCTCTTAGCTTGCCAATAAAGTTAGGAATCCTTAACCTGTAAATAGCTTGTCAATAAAGCTAGGGATCCTTAACCTTGTCAAACCCTGTGTAAAAGAGAGAGAGAGAGAGAGAGAGAGAGAGGCAGGAATCATGAGTGGGCAGGAAACGTGGGTGACCCATGCTGAAAGGTCGACCGGAAGAGGAAATGTGGGGAGGGGGAAAGGGAGAGAGGGGACGAAGAGAGGACGAGAGAAGAGAGAGAAGAGAGAAGAGAGAGAGAGACAGACAGACAGACAGACAGACAGACGGAGACAAAGAGACAAATAGACAACAGAAAGCGAGAGACATACATACATACAGAAACAGAAAAACACTCAAACAGAATGACACACAAAAAAAGGGGGCGACGCCAAAAGAAAAGGACAGAGAGAAAGAAAGGGAACCAGAAAGAGCCTTCTGGGGGGGGAGGAACACTCTCTAAACACCAATATTGTCATTACAAATGTTTACCACCTCGCTCACAGCTTCCTAAACACAGGTCGCCTTGACACGACCGTCGTGTCAACAGACATTTCCTGACAAACACGACACGTTAGATCAATTATACTACGAAACTAACCAAGTATAACTATCTGACGGAAATCAGTTGATCCAGGGCAAGGGGTGGATACCCAATTACCATTGAACAAGGACTTCATGAAAGGAGAAATAGAATCAGAATTATTTTTAGGGCTTAAGGTCAGGATAACCCATTTTACTGTGCTTATAAAGTCAATATTACCCAGTTTTATCAGGCTTTAAACATCAATATATACCCGTTTACGGCTTTATAAAGTCAATATATACCATTTTACTGTGCTTTGTAAAGTCATATATACCCAGTTTTACTGTGCTTTATAAGTCAATATATACCCAGTTTTACTGTGCTTTATAAAGTCAATATATACCCAGTTTTACTGTGCTTTATAAAGTCAAATATACCCAGTTTTTATTGTGCTTTTAAGTTCATATATACCCAGTTTTACTGTGCTTTATAAAGTCAATATATACCCAGTTTTACTGTGCTTTATAAAGTCAATATATACCCAGTTTTACTGTGCTTTATAAAGTCAATATATACCCAGTTTTACTGTGCTTTATAAAGTCTAATATATACCCAGTTTTACTGTGCTTTATAAAGTCAATATATACCCAGTTTTACTGTGCTTTATAAAGTCAATATATACCCAGTTTTATTGTGCTTTATAAAGTCAATATATACCCAGTTTTACTGTGCTTTATGAAAGTCAATATATACCCAGTTTTACTGTGCTTTATAAAGTCAATATATACCCAGTTTTACTGTGCTTTATGAAGTCAATATATACCCAGTTTTACTGTGCTTTATAAAGTCAATATATACCCAGTTTTACTGTGCTTTATAAAGTCAATATATACCCAGTTTTACTGTGCTTTATAAAGTCAATATATACCCAGTTTTACTGTGCTTTATAAAGTCAATATATACCCAGTTTTACTGTGCTTTATAAAGTCAATATATACCCAGTTTTACTGTGCTTTATAAAGTCAATATATACCCAGTTTTACTGTGCTTTATAAAGTCAATATATACCCAGTTTTACTGTGCTTTATAAAGTCAATATATACCCAGTTTTACTGTGCTTTATAAAGTCAATATATACCCAGTTTTACTGTGCTTTATAAAGTCAATATATACCCAGTTTTACTGTGCTTTATGAAGTCAATATATACCCAGTTTTATTGTGCTTTTTAAAGTTAATATATACCCAGTTTTACTGTGCTTTATAAAGTCAATATATACCCAGTTTTACTGTGCTTTATAAAGTAAATATATACCCAGTTTTATTGTGCTTTATAAAGTCAATATATACCCAGTTTTATTGTGCTTTATAGAAGTTTTTAGATACCGATCTTTACCGGGTTTCAATACCTACCCAGATCAATAATTTTACTGGACTTCGAAATTAAAATATAATTTGTACCCGTGATAATAGACCATATTGACCAGCAAAAATAATAAAGAAAATAATTGTGACAACGTTTCGCTCTCTCTCTCTCTCTCTCTCTCTCTCTCTCTCTCACTTAGAGGTCAACGTCGTCACTTTAGAGGTTCATCGACATCGCTTCCTCTTCACGGGTCGAAATGTGGTCTGATGTTTCCTATCTAGTTTGAACATGGGAGTACACGAGAGTACATGGGAGTACATGGGAGTACACGAGAGTACATGGGAGTACATGGGAGTACACGAGAGTACATGGGAGTACATGGGAGTACACGAGAGTACATGGGAGTACATGGGATGGAGTACTGGGATACACGAGAGTACATGGGAGTACATGGGAGTACACGAGAGTACATGGGAGTACATGGGAAGTACCACGAGAGAATAGCATGGCAGAGTACACTGGAATACATACCAGAGTACATGTGGTACAGAGATACTATCGACGTACATGGAACTGAGTTACACGAGTACATGGTGATACATGTGTTACACTGGAGTACATAGGCAGGACAAGCAGCAAGCGACTCTGGTCTCTACTCAGACTATCTCTGTAAAGATCTATCTATCTATTATCCTATCTATCATTTACTGGGATATTAAGATGGTGTTCCAGCAGTGTTGAGAAAAAGGTTAAACGACTGCATACCTACTTCTCTCTTTTGTTTCTATCTCTCTCATCTATCTCTCATCGTTATCTCCTCTTACTGTAGATTCTAGTGTCTCTCGCTCCATCTAAAACTTAACTTGCATCCTCATTTTTCATTGCTTCTCTCTGTTTTCTATCTCTCTCTCACTCCTTCTCTCTCTCTCTCTCTGTCTCTCACTCTCCTCACTGTCTCTCTCTCTCTCTCTCTCTCTCTCTCTCTCTCCAATTGAAAGTCAGAGGTGTAAAGCGAGAGGAATTAAAAACAAGAAGACACTGTAAAATCTGTGGGACTTTTTTCTGAATGAGTCAGAGAGAAAGAACTTTGGACTTTGTGGTCGTGGTACGTAATTCCTGAAGTGAACTTTTTAGGGATCAAAGGATCAGGAAAGCTTTCTCTGAAGGATAGAACTTTTCTGGAGGATAAAGCTTTCTCTGAATGATAGAACTTTTCTGGAGGATAAAGCTTTCTCTGAATGATAGAACTTTTCTGGAGGATAAAGCTTTCTCTGAATGATAGAACTTTTCTGAAGAATGAAGCTTTCTCTGAAGGAAAATTAAAAAAATTGATCTTTTCAAGGAGGAATACCTTGATGCCTCTTGATTTATATATATATATATATATATATAATATATATATATATATATATATATATAATATATATATATATATATATATATATATATATATATGTATATATATAACCCGCAATGTGGGTTATATCTTCCCATCGCAAATATTCCCTGAGCTCCTTTGCAGGAGCCTTTGCAGGAGCCTCGGCAGGAACCCCGACAGGAACCCCAGCAGGAACTGCTTGACGCTGCCTCTTCCTAAGTTTTGCTCACCCAAAACTGTTGACGGCTGAATGGTGCTCACTGAAGCTCGCAGAGGCTAATATTGACTCAGAGAATTCCATTTAGCTAAACTAACAGGTATCGGGCGGCTGCCTCTTGTCACTGGCGTGCTGAGGTGGAAGATGAAGGCTGTGGTGTGTGTTACCGCAGCGTTCATCAGCAGGGAATCCGGAATTAAGTATTATAAGACTGAATCCGGATTCAGGGCGAGAACGGATTTGTTTACACTATGTTTACAAGGGTTCTAACATTAATAATGCTCAAACACGTTATGATTCACTTACTTCTGAGTATAATTTTTAATGTTTGTGTAATTAAGTATTATAAGACTGAATCCGGATTCAGGGCGAGAACGGATTTGTTTACACTATGTTTACAAGGTTCTAAACATTAATAATGCTCAAACACGTTATGATTCACTTACTTCTGAGTATAATTTTTAATGTTTGTGTAATTAAGTATTATAAGACTGAATCCGGATTCAGGGCGAGAACGGATTTGTTTACACTATGTTTACAAGGGTTCTAACATTAATAATGCTCAAACACGTTATGATTCACTTACTTCTGAGTATAATTTTTAATGTTTGTGTAATTGCAAAGGTGAAACTACTGTGTACAAGACAATCACTAAGTTTGTAACATTAAGTTAGTCTAATTTTTAATAAAATTATTATTATTAACTTGAAGTTGCTATATATATATATGATATGAAAAAAAAAATCTGTGTTTTACTCTTTAGTTTCTGTATATTTTTGAGATTTGAGAAGAATTAGTATAGAAGAAAGTTTGTTGGGAATTAAGATATTGGTAAAAGGGGATTCTGTGAATACGACGTTTCGCCCAATGTTGGGCTTTATCAAGTACATGGACATGAGAGGTGCATTTGCTCATTACTGTGTACCTGAAGAAGGAAAGCCTTGGGCGAAACGTTGTATTAAAAGGAGACTCCGCAATGTTTTTATTCTCATTTGTCGGCTTTTGAATGTTTGTCATGAATTGGGTTGTTAGGCTGTTGGTGTCATGTGTAGATTTTATGTGTCACGTGAATGACACATAAAATAACTCAGTGTTGATCCGGATTTGTGTTGAGGTGAGCGCATTATCTTCGTGAGGCTTAGTGTTCTCACCTACGCGAGGCGTGTTCTCACCAGCCTGACCCAGGTTCTCGCCTGTGTTTACTTCTAACCTGTGTTTACTTCTGTGTGACTGGTGCTCTTTCCTGTCAGTCCGGTGTTCACCCTTGTTTGCCAGGTGTTCTAACTCGCGTTGCTGTATAGTCCTTGTGGCTTAGCGCTTCTTTTTAATTATAATAATAATAATCTAACTCGCGTTCTCCCTTCTTGATCCGCGAACTAATGTTACTCTAGTTTCACAGGCTAGTGTTCTACCCTGTATGGACAGTGTTCTTCCTGAGTGGATTGTGTTCTCCCATATATAATTGTTCTTCTCACTCTGCCTCTGCCTCCGCCTGTAAACAG